ATATATACCAGCTTCTTCACCACATACAGTACAGTATATATACCAGCTTCTTCACCACATACAGTACAGTATATATACCAGCGCTCTCTCCTGCTGCTACAGCCTGCCTGGTTAAGCACAGCAGGAGAAGAAACTATCTCAGCTTCTCAGATCTGACTTACACCAAGCCCACCGGCCTCCATCATGGTAATGTAATGTAGTATGAATTAAAAAAGGAAGACTGTATTTGATATTCCCAAAATGTTTAATAATGTGCAACATTTCATAAGACTTTTGAAGGACTAGGGGTCAAATTCTTTTTGGGAGCATCAAATACAGTTTGTGAGAATTCCTCCTTTTTCACATTTACCTTTAGCTTTGTCCTGCACCCGATTCCAGCTTGGGTTGGATGTGCACACCTTGAATAGTTTTTATAAGTAATGTAAGCTAATCTTTTCCTTTTTCCTTTCTCTAGACTGCTGGTCTGTGATTGTGCTCGTTCATGTTTTGTTACCTGTCTAGGTGTGTACAGGTGTGCTGACTGGACTCCTCCTGTTCTCCCTGTCCTCCTCTGTGGTATCTGCAGACAGGGTGGATCTGAACACTCTCCATAGAATCATCCAAGTCTTTGAAAGCAGGTAAGTGAGTGAGACTCCCATCATAGTTTAAGTTATTTGTCAGAGTAAACAGCTATAAATATTTGTAGCGAATCTTCTTAAATATTAGTAGTTATCCCTCAAGGTTGGTCAAAAGTATGATCAAGAAGCAGTTGTCATGACTATTCCATGTCCTGTCATCATGACTTGTATGTGAATTCAGCAGGCAGAGGAAAATCCTGACTGATAAAAAGAGCGAATAGTATTTGTGCACCGTGTCAAGCCTGGGATGTGCAGCATCAGTAACATCAGGTCTTCATTTATCTTGTCTTTTTCACTTGTTGTTTCTCCAAGATATAAACCCGGTGAAGATCTCCAGTATGCTGTGGCCATCAATGTCCCAGCAGAACAGTGTAAGGAAAATTTCAATAAGGACAACTTCCTTAGCGAGTACACAGATAATGTCAAGGATGACCTCAAAAAAAAGAGACTTTACATAGGAAATCACATGGTCGCTGCCAGACCAAAGGGCGGGGGCTCCACAGCCATCCACTCAGAGCGTGCCTTGCTCATCTGTGAAGACCAAGCTGTCACTCCTGTGCAAAACCTGCTGAACACAGCGGACAGAAATGGCTGTGTGGTGTTTTACACCTACAACTCTCCATGTCTGGACTACTGTCTGAACCAAAAAAATGACAATGACCAACAGAACCGGGAGAGGGCCCAGAAAAAGAGAGGAAAAACTAATGTCACCCCTGCTGTGAAGAAGTGCATCCTGGACTCTCTCAGTATACTGACCAATCACCCCGGTCCCAAGGCCTTTGTGTTCAGTCAGGTCTATAGGAAGGACAGAGAAAACACCAAGCTAGCCTCTGCCCTGAAGGAGGTTGCAGAGAAGGTCCCCCTCTACAGATGTAACACCAACCGCTGTATCGAGTGCCTGGATAACAATAAAAAGTTCAACAATCAATGCCTGTCCTAAGCGAGACACATTGCAATCATGTCCAAATGGATATTCATCTTTTTTCTTTCCGTGAATATGAATGATTTCAGTCTTTGTAACTTGATTTACTAACATATATTAATACTCTTTGACTACTGTTAATTATGCACTTGTGATTTGAAATCATTTAATAAATATCACAGCAACAATTACAGAGGTCTGTCTATGTGTTGGAAGAAAAAAGCTGAATGTTTGGATATGTGTGTGTTTGTGTGTGGAGATAAAAATCTTTTGGTCAGATGAGGAAAAAGTATACAGAAATCAAAAGACTGAAAAGGAATTTAGAAAACCAGGAATGAGTAAAAACTTAATCAGACGAAAAAAGTCTGTCTTAAAATTGGGCCTCCCCACCAGCAGATGGCAGCACTGAGAGCCTGAGATCTTCCTCATCATGACTCCGCAGGGAGGAGCTCAGTCACACACACCCACACATTACCATTAGACTCCATACGGGAACATGCTAACTGACAGGAACAGATACAGTCAGTTACTGAAATGAACAGAACGACAGGCTGGGCAGTTTGGGTGGCATCATGTGTTCAAGCTGTTTTCTGTCAGGAAACTAAGGAATGGCTGGCTTATCATTACTCTACAGCACAGCACACAGCCACCAAATACCTTGAAACCAAATACAAAATATTTAAACCANATCCTGACTGATAAAAAGAGGGAATGGTATTTGTGCACCGTGTCAAGCCTGGGATGTGCAGCATCAGTAACATCAGCTCTTCATTTATCTTGTTTTTACTCTTTGTTTCTCCAAGATATAAACCATCTGAACGGACCGACAGTGGTGAAGGTGCCCAGTACGCTGTGGCCATCAACGTCCCAGCAGAACAGTGTACAGAAAATTTCAATGAGAACGACTTCCTTAGCGATGAGAACACAAATGATGTCAGGAATGACCTCAATGACAAGATGAAGAGACTTTACATCGGAACAGAGATGGTCGCTGCCAGACCACAAGGCAAGATCCACTCAGAGCGTGCCTTGCTCATCTATAAAATAAAAAACCAAGCTGACACTCCTGTGCAAAAACTGCTGAAGACAGGGGAAGAAAATGGCTGTGTGGTGTTTTACACCTACAACTCTCCATGTCTGGACCACTGCCTGAACCAAGAAAAAGACAAACGGCGAGAGGACGATGTGAGCCGCCAGATAGAGAAAGGAATAACTAGTGTCCCCCCTCCAGTGAAGAAGTGCATCCTGGACTTTCTCAGTATACTGACCAATCACCCCGGTCCCAAGGCCTTTGTGTTCAGTCAGGTCTATAGGATGGACAGAGAAAATACCGAGCTGCTGGCCTCTGCCCTGACGCAGGTTGCAGAGAAGGTCCCCCTCTACAGATGTAACACCAACGGCTGTATCGAGTGCCTGGATAACAATAACAACTTCAACAATCAATGCCTGTCCTAAGCGAGACACATTGTAATCATGTCCAAATGGATATTCATCTTTTTTCTCTCAAAGAATATTAATGATTTGTAACTTGATTTATTAACATATATTAATACTCTTTGACTACTGTTAATTATGCACTTGTGATTTGAAATCTTTTAATAAATATCACAGCAACAATTACAGAGGTCTGTCTATGTGTTGGAAAAAAACAGCTGAATATTTGGATATGTGTGTGTTTGTGTGTGGAGATAAAAATCTTTTAGTCAGATGAGAAAAAGTATACGGAAAGCAAAAGACTGAAAAGGAATTTAGAAAACCAGGAGTGAGTAAAAACTTCATCAGACAAAAAAGTCTGTCATAAAATTGGGCCTCCCCACCAGCAGATGGCAGCACTGAGAGCCTGAGAGCTTCCTCCTCATGAATCCGCAGGGAGGAGCTCGGTCACACACATCCAAACATTACCACCATCCTCTTTAAAGGCTCCGTTCAGGAACATGCTGTTTTAACACGATGTGAGGGGGATATAGGGCTCTCAAAGGAACAATCAGGCACACTTAGGTTCGCTTCTAAAAACACTTTATTACAAGTGATACAAAATAACCTTGCATTAAAATCAATACAAAAATATTGGATCAAAGGCAATGCAAAATAATCCTGTATCACGTATTGGAAGTGGTATCAAATAATATTATATATCATTAGGAATAATAAAACCGCCAATACAAGTGATTATAGGCATGTATAAAAAGTGACAATTGAAACATGCATATATAGAGAGTGCAACTTGATATATTATAGTTATTGTGATAATTGATTGGATCAACACATTGACACTGCAGAGCTATTCACACTCGGACGTGCCATCATCACCTACCTTTATTCTAAGACTGGGGAGCCTGTTTCAGTCCTGGCAGGAGACCAACACGTGAGTCCCAAGAAAGTGCTGGGCGATGCACGCTGTATCCCACGGCTGAGCTCCGGTCAGCACTGAGATCGCTTTTATACTAAATTTAGGCACCGCGTGCGAGCAGGGGACGAGCTGGCCAGGCTCACCCCTCCCCTCAGGCATTGTGTTGTCTAATTTCCAATTTTGTCCGAGTAAGCAGTTTGCAGCTTCAATCAGAAGTGACAAGACAAGTTTCTATAATCAATGCGACCTCCCTCTTCCTGAGGATGGGGTGAGCGTCCTACACACACTGACCACTAGGTGCGGTTTCAATCAAAGATAGTTAGATAAGTATCCTTGGGCAATGC